TTTTGATTTAATTAAATACCTAAAGAGTAATTTTTGATAATAAAGGTTAATGCTCTAATATAAAATTATTTTTGTGCATAATAATACATAGTCACTTATTCTTAACCAGAGTTTTAATACAAATATGAATATCTAATATTACGATTGCTATGAATTGGTAAAATATTAAAAAACTCGAATCATTTAATAAATAAAAGTCACAGAACGAGAAAAGTAAATGTATGTTAGAATTTAGTAATTTATATGAAATTATAACCACAAGTTAAAATAAATGGAAAGGTAAACCTATAATCAAATTTTAAATTTGTTAGAGTTTAAAAAAAAAATATATTATCTCCTAATATTTTTAAATATCAAGAACAAATTTATAAATTAATTAATTAAAGTTTAAAATTGAATGTAAGTAGGTACCTACGGTATTGTAATGTTAGAAAAATAAATTAACTTTTATTTTCTTATACTTATTGTGAATTACGTGAATTCTATTATGTTAAGTTGAATAATTCATATAAAAAGTCTAGTACATGGTGTCTGTATGCTTTCAGTTAATAGACTATGGAAATTGCATTATTCCGGCATACTAAGTGTCTAAGCCCCCTTTTATTTTGTGTATAATATAATCTCGAATTCTTGCATATAAGATCGAGTGCCAATTCTTTTGCTACATATAAAATCTCGATGACGTACACATAACTCACGCAGTTAGTTCTTGCCGTAATTTAGTGTCTTTTATACATTTCAAGGTTCTAAAAACTCAATTTTCTAAATATATTTAGAAGTGATAAATGATAATCATCATTATATGTGTTATTTTCCTAAAATTAACTAATATACTATTATGCAAATTTGAATACAAGCAAAATTTTGCCATCGGACAATGATTCATTAAAATATATTTATTAAAAACAAATTTAAAATTTGAATACGTTTACTATTTATTTTACCTGATAGTTATGTTGTATATTCTGTACATTTCTAAATTCTTGAAAATGTATAATTTTAATTCTGTGGCCTTTAATTATTCAATAAGTAGAATTGTTTTTGATTTTTATCAATTTAAAATTATGCACAAAAACAAAACATTGGTACTATTTTTATTTATTTTAGGAAATACCATTCCCAATGTTAATAAATAATCTGGCTACACACCTCGATAATACAATTATCACGAAAATAGGCAATATCTAATTTGATTGCTTGGTACCTATAAGTTATAAGTATTATGTGAAAATGTTATTAATAAACAAAGTAAAATATTATATGATAATAAACATTAAGTTCAAAAATGGGTTGCCGCATAGTTTTTGATGTTCACCGCGTTCTAGAAAATTGTATTCATTATTGTATATTATTCAAGAACATCATATAGATGACACTTTTTATTTAATAGATTAATCATTTATTGGATCAATTGGGTTTGGGAGTACTGGATAATTAGTACTAAAGTCTGGACTTGACATTCGCCGTTAATAATTACTACTAACCATGCCCTCCTCCCAGAGACTTCTGGCTTCAATAACCTCTCGTTAAATTATTTTACTCTGATCTGTTTTTATTCGTCATGGACTCATGACAATTGGTAGGTATTAAATATTTAAATATCTTGATCACTTTTATGATATTAAAATAATATTTATTAATTTTTTTGAAACTTTCTACTTTGAAATTCGTGTATTAAAATCACCAATAAAATGACACCTTCCCTTCATATATACGTATTTCTTGTATAGTAATGTAATGTTACGTTAAATTATTATTGCATTTTGTGTACCTACAGTGATTGCTCGATTATCGCATCCAGTTTGTGCACACGCCAACCGAATGACAGCGTTATGGTGACCCCTGGTATTGGAAGAGAGATAGGGTAGAGGGTGAAAGATTTAAGTTTCTGTGGCGACCGTGGTCGCCAAGGGAGTACACATAAGCCATCCGATGAGAATAGGTAATTTTCGCGGTGAAGGTTCGTGCACGCACGGTTGAATTTCCGTCGTATTATATATCCGATCCGACGCAGCTCCCCAATACGTGTGACAAATATATAAAAATAAATTTAATTTATAAGATGACTCAAAAATGCCTCCTGTTACAGTTCGGTGTCGATCCTTAACCGAATTCTGCAACGTGTGGACGACGGTGTCACTACGTCGAACTTTTAAAATGTATACTGCTGTAGTGGTGTATAGGTACGGTTTTATCGAAAATGTTTGGATTACCTGTCGGAAGCCATTGGTATTACTCTAATGCATTTTTGTTTTCGTATCACACTTTTTGTGGCTTTAAATCAGATTATGAATTTAACATGGATTGGATTTTTAAAGGTAATATATTTTATTGATTTCTTACCAGTTTCATAGAGAAATAGTTTACACGATAATTTGGTGAATAATATGATAATTGTATTTGTCATATTCAGCTTAGTGATGCACTCTCTTCTTATAGAGAATATGTCAGTTGGTGTTCGTCGAATTTGCGTATACTTTACCCTGCAGTTCTGTAAAAAATGTATGCCACTGCTCCAAATACTGTATCTAATTGCTGATTACGCAGACGAAAAGACAATAATATCCATCAACTCCGTTCCCGATACAGCTTCACTTTCCAACATCTATATAATTCAAACTTTTAAAATATTGCATTAGAAAAATTATCGAATGTCCTTGAAAAACCATCCACGATGAAGCTAAAATATTTTATAAACATTTCTATAATTGTCCACTCAACCACCCTAATCCACTTGTCAAAAATCTCGCAGTCCCTACAATTGCCGGTTAATCCTCCAAGACGCTTTAGGCATTAGCTGTGTGTCGTGATTAGTTAGACGCATAATATGCGTTGTATTATAGTACTAATAACTATTATTAAGTGTAAATTTAATATTATACAAATGCATTATAAATAGTATAATAAAAAAAAAAAATGTCGACTTATGAGAGTATCATTAGTAGGTGGTCTGCTCGCCTCAATGTTTGTTCACTTATTAATATAATAGGCACTTTTGCATTTTTTTCTCATTATGGAGAATAATATATGATACTTGTGTCCTATATGATTAGTGTGCCCTTAAAAGTATAGACCTATAGCTCATATATTTCTATTTAATTATTTTTTTAAATAATTGTTGTTGCCAAAAAATTAAAAATAAATGTGTCTTCGACATGTTCGTACTCAAGTTCAAGTTGAGTTAATTATTTTCAGGCCTAAGTAAAATGCAAGTACGATTGGTTTTATTGAAAACTTTGGTTGGCAGTTAATATAACCACTAGATTTCGAAGTGTGCGACGTTAGTGAGACATTCCCGTATTTGTCTTACAAAAGCGGCAAATTGTAGATGAAATATATTGAAAGTGATATACGCAATTGTGTAAATCCCTTTTACGGTGCTCTCTTACCGTTGTATACTTAAGTCAGGGACATTTACTAAGAAGATTTCCATTATCGTTATCGTATATTGAATTGTGCGGTTATATAAATATAATTATACATATACCAATATATTCGGATTTATATTTACTGTTTAAAGTTAAAAGTTTTATTGAAATTAAATGTTGTGCAATGATATAAAAATACAATTCTCAACTTTTATCAACTATTTATTTTTACATTATTTAAAACATTATATCGTGTAGTGTGATTATCTCAAAAGTAACATAATTATAAAGATACTATATATAGGTAATATGGAATTTATAACGATAAAATCCATATAGTAAATTATACACATAATAGGTAAAGTTTGAACTTTTAAATTAAAAACTTTAAATTATCGATCGGAACTTTATGAAATATTGGAATTGTATAAGGTATACTCTTGTTACTAAGTTTGACATAAACGTCACTTAAAAAAAAATCAACAATTTTTAATATTTAATAAAAATGAATGTAATATTATTTAATATTGTAATAGGTAAGTATAATTATATTAATCGTTTATTGCATCATTTTTGTTTACGAAACGTTTAACTATGGGTACCTACATCTGTTATTAATTTAAACATACGATATGTCTTATTCTTATAGTAAGTACCTAACAATAGTAACACTAGTATCCAATTAGATATTTATTTAATCATGCGTAGGTAACAAATATAGTAATTCTGTTTAGTTACACCGTCTATATAAATATGTCTACGAGTGTAGTACATGCGATTTACTATGCATATTATACTGTATGTATATGAATCATCGAACATTTACATAACATTGTTTTGACCTTTAGTCAGTGACGACGAGTAATTTTTTTATTACCGATGTTTGTTACCGGAGCAAACTTTGGAAGACGATTAAAACTACGTGAAAATGTATTATTATAGCGGATAATACCTAACAATTTTTAAAAATATAAAACTAAAGTAAACACCGCATATCGTCTGTAAAGATGTGTGTACAATAATATGATGATTAAAAATAAAAATTGGCACTATACATCCACCGGTTCATACGATTGACAAGCGATGAATATTTAAAAAACTAGTATACATTATATAATATTTATCGTTAAAAATCGTTAACAAAGGAGTAACACTGTTATTTTGTTTTGATCATACATTTAATGAATACTTGTATCGCAACAAGTTATTCAATTATGCTATGAATAATAGTGTTTCGCCACGTGTTAGGCCTGTACGCGAATTCAAACGTCGTCACTCATCCGTCGATAAGTATTGGCATATCATAGTGATGTATTCAGGCTTAGAGCCTAAACATACTATATTGAGCACATTTTTTTTGTATAAAATATTGATACAACAGTTATTATTTAGCCTAGTAAATACAGAATTATGTTGTGGATAGAATTAAATTCATTTATTTTATTTGGGAATATCTTGTTGAAAATTGAAAATATTTATAAACCTATAACATAGTTATACACCTAATCATAAAATTATTAGCATACCTTAGGTTAAACACACACATTGCATATTATATCATAATATGGGCGGCGCTATATTACTATCACTGATAGTTTAGTTCAGTGATTACTATTGAGCAGATTATTGAGTGTTGGTTTAATCTGTGTTGTTATTCATTATTAATAAAAAAATTGATTATGTTATGTGTATTTGAAGTTGTCAATAATTTGTATTTTACTCTACAGTTTTTCGCATACTTCCTAAATAAAATGATTTACTCTTAAAAATTATGAAAACAATCAGTCAAAATGCTAACTATTAGAGTTTATTAAAGGTTTTAAGCATTTTAGTATTACAATAATTGACTAATGAGTGGATAAGGTTTTCAATTATTTACTATGTTTAACTAAAGTAAATGAAATGTATGGATAATGAAGAGGAATCGTGATGTATTAGCAAGTATGAAGTAAATTGTAAAACTTTATTTCTTAATTATTACTATTACCACATATTTATAATTTTTATTTTTACATGGCATGGTGCACTATATTGGCCATATTTTACTCGTTATTGAATATTGGCATATAAGGGCTCTAGTTTTAAATTGCTACATTATGACGTAACACCGATTAATCAATCATATTAATTATTATTATTTATGGTTACAAGTCTATATTTTATCCTACCAATTTGATACAGTATGAACAATGGAAAAATATATTTCTAACACAGTATATTACGACTAAGAATTTTTTCAGACTATATCATCTTAGAGTTTAGACACACGTATTGTCTATAGGTATTATATTATAGAGGTCTAATATCTAAACAAGTATCAGAGAAGCTCACTCTGCGAGCGTGCTAAATTCACGGTTTCTAAGTGTATTTTAATATTATACAACGCTATAAACTACAACTTCAAACACAATTTAATGACCTTTTTATTTTTTTGTACCTAATTTTAGGTTAAAGTAAGTTAGAACACATTATATCCCCTTTGTGCCCGCTCGTCCGTTAGTTACCAGTACATAGTTATGATTGTTGATACTAAGATATTTATTTATTCACTATTGTTTGTAGTTAGTTTACATAGTTACGATTGTTTGCATTGAGAAATTTAATTACTGTTGTTGTTAATAAGATAATTACTCATTGTATAAGTGGGTATTTAATATAGATTCATGCTTTCCAAAATAAACTACCAAATTGGTTACCACTTACCAACTTCTTACTAAATTTTATTCGGAATCATAGTTCATTAATACGGTTTGGAAATGGGAATTTAGTATGCTAACGATTGGACGTTCTCTAAGTGAGCGTTTCTAACTTGTTTTTGAAAGAGTTCCGAGAAAATTTTTTGTATAATAAGATGTACATAGGTGTAATATGTACAGCAATAATGATTATACCTTGTACAAAAGTCAATCTTACTATCAATTTTCAAGTATCAAGTGAAAGTATTAACCGTTGAAAACTTTCATACAAAGTATTAAATATATATATATATATAAATATTAGGGTTCTAAATATAAGTTTAGAACACTTTATACACACGTTATGTCCATCTGTCTGTTAGTTACAAGTAAATAAAGTTACGACTGTTGATATATATCAAATTTTCTATTTTAATATTAGGATTTATAATTTAAAACAGAACACTAGAAATACACTTAAATGCTGAGCAGAGTCTCATTAATATAAATATTTTAATACTGCAATAATTGAGCAAATCAATAGTTTAATAACGGTTCTATTCGACGTAATTTTTTACTGGCCATTATTAAAAATATCATACTTAGAGTATTTAATATAGATTTATACTAGCTAATTTAAAAACGTAGCTACAAAAATATAAATGTCATTCATTTATGTATGGAATTGTATTTTATTACTTTACAACATTTAAATACCTTAAATTTAGCACCCTCTCAGAATGAGCTTTCCTCACTTGTTTGATATTAACTAGTATGAATTTATATTAAATACTTATATTTTGATATTTTTTATACTGACTAGTATATTTTTACTCTGAATAGAACCGTTATTAAACTATTTATCTGTTCAACTGTAGTATTCAAATATTTATATTATTAATACTTAAGCTAAGGATATTTTTTAGTTTTTTGTTTTTAATTAAATATGAAAACTAATATTAAAATGGCAAAATGTATCAACAATCCTAACCAAGTACTGGTAAAAGAGGTAAAAGGACATAGTAAAGTGATTTTTAATATATTATGTTTAGAAACCTAAAAGTATACGTATTTTTGTATTACTCAGAAAATTATTTACAATAAATATAAAGAATCAGAATTTAAAAATAAAAAATAAACTATTTTTATATTATTGTTAAATTACATTGTTAAATAACTTGGTGTCTTCATAACATGGTTGATAATTGTATTATTTCGATTCATTTTAATTTGTTTACTAATTTTGTAAACAGTTGTACGATATTAATGTATAGGATTAATAATAACGTGCAATATCTCAAATATGAAAATAATAATTTCCCCGATTTTTTCACTAATGAGTAATGGGTAAGGTGATCACGAGTTTCTACTAGAATAATTGAGTTATAATTTAACTTCGTTAGTGTACGTAACTAATAAAATATTATTTTCTGAAGGAAAAAATTTTAAAATATTTTAAAATAATTTCTATTAGAAAACAAAAATTTTAGTTTTATAAAAATAAAGACTTGTGTCGATTGATTGTGAACAATTTACCCACGGTATATTTAACTTAATTCGTTTCAGTCTTTAGGGCACCTTCTTGAACCCTAATGAAGCAATGCATAAACTAGCTAATGCATCGTATACAGGAAGTTGAACTGACTATTGAAATACTTGATTGACGGTTGTCAATAGTGAAACGTTGATCTGTAGAGTTGATGAGAACATTCCTATTGGATGAAATCGAGAATGATTGTTTTACGGTATCGCCTTATTTCTAGTTATTTATTCAAGCCGTTTCATTATTAAAACGATTCTATGATTTATTCTATTACGGTTCTTATGCAGTTCGAATAATTTATTGTTCGATAGAAGATTCTTTCTTTATTGTGTAGGTTAAATATTAGCGAGTATCTATATAGAATATGATATTATATTAACAGCTCCTAATTAAATTATACACATTTTGGTAATTACTCAATCAAAAATAAAGTACAGTGTTTATGCAAATAAATATGAAATATGTACTAATGTGTCAAAATATTCTTTAAAACTTTAGAGGCAGTTGAGTGCATGTAAAAAAAATAATTAGTGTGACCTATAAGACCATAAGAAATACTTTTACAAGATAAATATAAGCACCTAACGAGAGTAAAATACAATTTGCAACTTAACTAAACAAATTATTATTTTTTATTTTGGGCACTTTTAAAAACTAAAATATAATTGTATTTAATATTAGGCTACAATATATTACTTATGATGTATGTAGGTAATTATTACTGAGTATGTACGTCTGCAATTGTTTTCTGGTATTTAAATAATTATATTAAACAAATTATGTAAAATTAATGTGTTTTACTTATTAGATGAAACTTAAAATATTTCATCATGTTAACGATGTTTTTTACCTTCTATATTATTGAACAACGTAAAAAGTCATTGTCACCTGGCAATTTTTAACAATTTAATTACATTGAAGAAAATGAACAATTTTAACATTTATAATTAATTTTATAGCTTTTTAAAAAAACTTTATCTATCATGTGCTATTTAAAATGTTTCTGTGCTCTTTGATTTATATTTTCTACAGTCCTCTTAATTTTTTAAACATTTATTAAATTGTTTTTGTTTACAGTTTTCTATTTTAGTGACATCACACCTGTCTTTCTTTTAAAAAAAAGTTAAAAACGATTTAACTGGAATTCTCAAATTTGATCTATTTTACCTCCTATCTAAGTACTAACTCTGATAAAAATATTAAAAAAATTGGTAAATACAAATATTGCAGATGAATAACAGATTTGTGATCTTATGCATGTTAATTATCCTACCCACTTAAAAGAAAACAATTATCAAAAATATGAACTGTCTAAAAAATATTTAATAATTTTATGAATAATTGTAATCTTTCAATTTAGATCAAAGGTTATAAACTATTATTAACTAACTTAATATTAGAATTTCTTTAAAGAGAATACTCTAAAACGAATTATTTTTCTCAAAATATAAGCTAAATTATTTATCATACCTACCGGTTTCCATTGTTCATTAATGATTTTTTGAAGAGAATAAATTAAGCACTAGTTCTTTTATTTTCTATCTCATTTCAATTGTTTTTGAATTCCATCCTTTCAATTTGAATGGTTATATAATTCGCAGTTTTCTCGGGAGTAAGGTATTATTTAAATACTGAATATTCTAAAAGTATTGTCTTTAGTCATACAAAAACCATTATTTTCAATGAAATTGTTTTTAAAGTATTCCAAAGGCTTATTTTTGTTAACTGGTTGTAACGCTCCAAGCAAAGCAAAAATACATGTGTGTTATCTCTTAACAAAATATAATTTTTTTTTTTTTTAGTATTCATATGTGCTTTACAACCAAAATGGTTTATATACATTATTATTCAAATATCCAAAATATGTATGTTTTGTTTTCTTAAAATGTATAATTTTTATTTTTATTAAGAATACAAGTATATTAATAACACAGAATATTTGTGATTTAAAACTAATTTTTATAAAAAAGACATTTTATTATTATTATTTGCATGTGAGGTTATTCTGTATAATAATATTATATATTATATTATTAAATATTAATTTTCATCTTAACTTTATTGATGTATTTTTTATATCAACGACTAAAATCATAAACCAATTTTTTTTTATTCTTGTATAATCAGAAGATAATATTAACTATTATTAAACAAAATAGTTAATATTAAAATAGTTGAGAACTTAAAATATTTGCTAAGAAAAAAATGGCATTAGATAATTTACCTACCATACGAAAATGGCTACATTTTTGAAAAAATAACACTGCATTTATTTTTTTTATAGTCCAAATACATTGGTTGTACAAAATGTCACTATCTATTTACAAATAATTTTCAATATAACAAGTGACAAAAAAATTATTATCAGCTGGGACATACAACACCACAAGGCACTTTGGCTGGGTATGTCCAAAACAACTTTATTAAAAGTAATATAAACCTACTCACGAGGAACAATTGATTTTTTACAATTTTTCATATGAGTTTTTTTGTGTGTAGAACCTTTAAGCTTTACACACGTTTTTGACTCTCGCCCCCGTTATTGGTACGTATTCAAACTTTGCTCGTTGAACTAAACTATATTGGAACGGAATTTTCAAAATGCATTAAACGTATTAAAACTAAATCAGTAGTTGAACTAGGTAGTCTAAGTTGCTCTGAAGTTTTGGTGATTTGTTTATGCTTATATTGTATGTCAAGCACAGCATATGCTATGTACTCCTTGTAATCCATTGATTCGATTTTAATTACATTTTTAACTGACAAACTATTATGTATAGTTTTACGTCACATATTCTACAGTTGTTTTCGACAATGTTCTTATATAATAAAATATCCTTGTGTGACTTTGAGTACACCTGGTAATATCTGCGCATTGAGGAGTGTACATTGAAACTACTTTAATTTTTCAATTATTTTTTTCTAAGATTTAACCCGACATCGGACAGCTATATAATATGGAATATCGTATAGAAAACTCTTTGTTCAAGTCTATATAAGTATCAATATAGTTTGATTTTTTTTTTTGAATAAATAACTATTAATAATCGTCCGTTCATCTCTTGGTCTTAACATTGTATATTACACTGTTTTACTGTCCTTCCCTCTCCGATTCGAGATTATTATTATATTTAATTTTTCCGCTCCCTTTAGTTCAGATCTCAACTGATCATAATCCCTTCTGACCTCTTAATGCTACCTCTTCGTTAATTTATATTCAATTAAATTTATTAGTTATTACTTAGGCTGTCATTTTAAACTAAAATATTTGGTAATACCTACAAATTGCTATGACTATTTTTTGTTGTTATTTTTTAGAACTTTTCTACTACTTTGTCATTAATTATTATTATTATTTTATAATCACCATTAACATAATTGATGTATTATAATATTCAGACAAAGGCTCTTAAAAAAAAATAAAACTACTAACATTCTTTGCAAGGTATTGAAATATTAAATAATTACATTTTATTAAAAGCTTTTTTATTTAATTACAATTACAATATATAGGTTCGCTAATTTTGTTCGAAATATCAATATTGATGGTGCAAATATGACATAATATCATATAAAACATGGAAATAGTAGAGGAATTTAAAGATCAAACTGAAGTTGCTGAATTTCCTAATTGTTCAGTACCTACCTAAGACGTACGATCAAGGATTACATATTTTTTGTAAATGAATTCAATTACCCTTTTTACCGGAGACAACTCACAAAATGTATTGTCAGAGTATTTTTGTGTCCCATAATTTAACTTAAAGCTTTTAACACAGTATCCGAGTGAAGTGATATGTATTCATCGCTATTTTTAAATATTTATTTTTAGCATGATCCTAGTGTTTAAATATTTTATTTTGTATTTGTGTCGTTATTTGATAAATGTTAAATTAAACTGACTACCTGACTGATATTCAAACTTCTTTTCCTGAAAACGTTTCATATTAATATTATTGTTAAATATTATAAGAAATAATGGTTCAGTAATCTATTTAAACACGATTACCTGCTTGATAAAGAATTAATTAAAAAAACTATCTACTATAGTTCATAATATAACAATAGTTTACAATAATACAATAATGAGTTATTAATGTTTGAACGATTATAATATTTATATTCAATTTTACTTAGGTACCTATATAAGTTATTGAACTGCACGGATTGAACATCTTAAGAATTGAAAAATATTTTCATTATATTATTGTGCAAAATATATTAAAACATCATAAATAGCTATTTTAATTTAATTCCAATAAATATAAATCTTGAATTTTTGAGATGTATTTACTACAATTATTATTCATTAATTGATTGTTTTTTGATTTGATTCATACTACAAAAAAACTTAACTTGATTAATGTTATATCATAAAATCATATATATATATATATATTTACATTTGTGATTTAATTGTCGCTTTAATACTTTTCTGGTAATATCTGCCAATACTAGTCTAGTATAATATGAGGTTTAACCGGGTTCGTTATTTTATATAAACCGCACAGGAAATAACAGATTTTACCTGTTTCGTGAGGACAAAATTGAGCCATTAAAAAGGTCGATGTCAAAATAGAAGGGATTGGAGAGAACCTATATTTGGTACCTTTTTAGCGTCATGAGAATTTTACGAGTGCTTGAAATATACTCTTATACAACGACTACCACGAGAATGGACTTAACGACCCCTAAGGTGCTATAGATAGTTTTGCGTGCTTCAAGTGATTTTTTTTATTTTACATTTTCAGGCATGCAATAAAAATAATTGTATTTTTGGTTTTAAACTTTTTCTTATAACTTTTAACTATACCTATTTAGGTATTTAGGCATTATTATTAACATATAATTAAAAGCATACATTTTTGATTGTCGTATAGAAAATTTAATCTAATTAAAAAAAAAAATTAACGACCATATTTGTTGATTATCAATTATTGATATTTGATTTAAAATAATTTTCAACCTATAATATTTATATTTTGTGTTTATAAATAGATGCAATTCTTGCAAAGAAATCTAATATAAAATTAAACATTTCTTATGAACTAAAACTATTTTAAGTTTGTATTATTTGAGGAATAGAAAATAATTAATTATGGAACATATAAATACCACTCTATTACATCAATATTTTTTGAATTACAACACAATAGCTAAATTGTTATTCTATGATTAACTATCTAATTCCGTCAATATTAGAAGTAATCAAATGTCTTATATAAAAAAAAATGTGCAATTGTAATTTTGGGATTTTTAGAATTTTGCGGGAACAACTTATAAAATACCAAGTATCAAACGTTTAAGCTTTAGCTATGACAAAATATACTGTAAAAATTTTTACTTCAAAATATAAAAAATGAGATAAGTTTTTGTAGTAAGTACCTACAGTTATCAAAATGTTATCAAACATAATAATTATAGAGATAACAATTTTATTTCATTCACGTATTATAATATTGAGATACAGGCATAACTGCATAGGTGCACAGCTCTAGCACTAAATATCATAACATATTATTTAAAAGGTTGTAATGGTTGTACTCGTATATTGTTGATGAAACTTTAATAAATTATAGTTTTCCTAAATTATTGTCTAAAAATGTGTTCATCGACCTAGAAGGTTGTTTTTTTTTGTTTTCTTCTTGTTATTTCACTCAACTATTGTTTTGGCATGATAATATTTTATTAAGTTATAATATTATTTATCATGTAAATATATAAAAAGCCATAAAGATTAGGTTGTCACTTGCCGCATTGAAGAAAATATTAAATAATGAATTATAAAGCGTTCGAGGAATGCATTATTTTTATTTCACTCTTAGAAAAATGATTTTCGGATGATCAATTATCAGCTGACACAAACATAATAATGGCATGGGACAACTATCGTTTATAATTTGAATGCTATTCAAGTTTATCTACCAAATAATTATAAAATACAAAAAATTCAAAAAACTATTTGAATTAGGTACATGCAGACACACATTCATATGAAAAAATGGCCCCCATCAGAGTTTAAAATAGTTCAATATACGTTACCTACGTATACAATTTTACAAATATCAATTTAGCATGGATAAAAACTTTCTACATAAATAATATGTCTTGTTATAATTTGCTTAGGTATATTTTACCTTTTAAATATGCAAGTTTTGAAAATGTAATCAAATAGAAACATAATTATTTGTTGATTAAAAATACATAGTGCCTATCCATCATTAACAAAATGTTGATACTATTGTTTTGTGGACAATATTATGAAATAGTGAATCGATTACCTAGTGCTGATTCAAACATAATATGTTCTATCTTCTATCACATTTTTTATATTACTTAATAGAACCTTATGCAATTGGTAGTTGTTAATTTTTTTATTTGATACCAGATAAAAATAGCTTTATTTATTGAGAAAATGGACCATTCTTTTTGCTTGTTTTTGGATGCCAACAATAAGTAACGATGATCGGTATTCGGTATGGTATTTTTTATTTTATTGAAGTAGCACACTCTTCAATCGATTGCAGATTTCATAACACGTAATACGTTAACAGATCTTCCTATTTTTCTTTCATAAATACCATGTGTTTGGTGCAGAAACTTTTATTAGTTTGAAACGTTGGTCAAACTTTTGTAATATTATTGTTGGGAATAAATCCAGTGTGAACAACTTTTGTAAAACATTGAAATATGTAAGTCGTAACTTCACATCTATGATATTTAAAATAAATAAAATAGCCACACACGTAAATAAAAATTATGATTTAATTTATAGGGCTTACCAACATCTAATGATTCATTATACTCTATTTATATAATAAAAAAAACAAATTTTGCCTAATGATAGTAAAATATGTACATAGAGGTACTATGATAATACATTTTCTGTTCTATTTAGGTGCATGGAAACAAATAGTTATTGAAATACAATTAGGCACTCAATACTATTCATATACATTGTTATTAGACTATAATTATGATGATAACCTCATATCTGTTAAAATTGTTCATTTTACACGGATGTTTGCAGTCCCAATATTTTCCACTTCTTTCATTTTTGTTAATCATGAAGTTGGCCCTTTGATATATTTTATGTAGATAAATTACTTGCCATACAATTTCAACTCGACTGGTTTGAAAATAGTGTGTTGCAAATAAACTGTAATTGAATGTGTCAAAATGATTATATTTCTCGCTTAGTTTGTTATTTTTCAATACCTAACTTATTACGAGATATCACTTTCAAACGCTGCCTTATAGTTAGAGTCATAGGGTTAGGCCCGTCACTTTTATCTAATGATCAGTCAATAAATGGACATTATATTCAATAGTTTATCGCAAAGCGGTCAGAACATCAGAGTTCGTGAAAATCAGCTATACTGCCGGGATATACTACTTTTATT